CCTGAGCATGAACGGCCAACTGCACAAACTATTGGTTTATGTGACTGTCCCGCCATTTTCTTGAGGTTCAGAAATGCTACAGATCAGTCCTGCATGTGATCAGGCACTCATGAGGAAGGGCCAGTTCACATTTCACATGGTTTCATGTGGTGGAGGGAAAGATGTTTGCACTGCTCCTAATGGCTCTCTCAGTTTTGTTTCAGATATGAAAACAAAGAGGGGTGGGGAGAAAAGCAGCAACAGCAACAGACTGGCTGGTTGGATATGCGAAATCTTTCAGGTGGAACAAGGTATGTTAACCAAGGTATCTTTAACTGAGAAAAAGCACCCTGGATGTCCTTGCTTTTAGGAATGAAATACTACGAATCCTTATCATCTCTATTTTGGAGGCTGACGTGCACCTTAAGATTGCCCTTATAAGTGGGGAAAGTCTTTATCCTGGAGCTTTCCACCATCCTTCCATTATCTGCACCCTATATTTCTGCTGCCTAGCATCTGCTTTTGAAATACCCGTCTTTCTGGTGAAGGAAATTAAAGAGCTTCAGAAAAATGCATGCAGAATCAGGAAAGCGGGCCACATATGATTTTCACCCAGCTCCCACAAAACAAAACAAACTAAGTCATGATCTCAACAGAACCTCAGCACGATAGCCAATTGTATTTTTTTCTCTGTTTTTAAAGGAAAATTAAACAACCACCTAAAATCACAGGGAAGCCTCCACCGACTTGCAGGATGTGCTATAAAATAAACAGCAGGCGTCAAATTCTGATTATCACATTTCTGCACTTTTTCCAGAAATATCAAGCAGTGATTTAACTCCTGGACACGTATCCTTGGAAACCAAACTATAAGCAGCTGCCCCTGGATGTTCACACAATGCCAGGTTTCCCCTCTTTGTATTCAAATATAACTAATTACTTGGCCTTTGAAATGATAGATGGTTGAGGGGGCGTCCCGGGGACGCACCCCAGCCCTCCAATGGCAGAGCCAGATTGCCGGGTCTAGCAACAGCTGCTCCAAATCCCCCACGAGGTGAGAGCAGGCACCAGAGAGGCTCTATTTGAACAGCTGCATATGCAAATGTAATTAACTAGGTGTTGCTGGCCTCTTCCGCTCACCCAGCCTGCATAGGCATGCTAGACTCCCCTTACCCATTTCTTTAAGGTGAAAGGCTGGGGGGGGGCACACAACAGCATTTTCTCACTAGACATGCCAAATCCTCTTCTGAGTTTAAAGAAAGAGTAAATAACAAGGATATAATTATGAGCATCAGATCCAAACTGCCTACCAGAGTAGCTCACAATCCTGCGTCTTATCACTCTAAATTTTTAGATTTCTGCTCTTGGAAGCCTAACGAGACAAAATATTAACTAAGCTCGGGGTTTATTTTTCTTTGGGGAGACTGTGGGAGTTGGAAGGATTTTACTGTCCAGACTATTTCTTTCTGAATGCTTTCACCATGGACTTCTGCCAAGTGACAAAGAGGTTGCTCAGTGATTAAAGCATTGGGATAGAATTCCAGAGATACAGGTTTAATGATAGCCATACCATGGGCCTGTTTGGGTGACCTTGGCAAGTCAAGCAACTTATCCTTTACTCCACCTTCACCAGAGGAGAATGGGAAAAGGAGAGAGCGCATCTGATGGTGGTGGGAGGCGAGCATATTAGGATCTGTGATGCTCTTGACAAGATATGAAGAAGAAAAAATATGTATGAAACGATGCTGTCTTGTGAGCGCCCACTGCTGCTTAAGGTCTTGAACTCTGCAAATCATAGCATGCTGGGCACAATTATCTGAGCTTCTGATTAACATGCCACAGCAGTTGAAGTCCTCAAAAAGCACAAACATTTTGACAGGCATAAGGGGATGATATATGAGTGCAGCAGTCCCAGCGTCTGAATCTGAAATAAATGACAGCTCAGCAGTTACAGGGCCCCAAAGGCCACTGTTGGCCACCATCCAGACAAGTTATCTCTATGTCTCAGGGCCACATTAGACCGATCTTAACTTCATGAATGAAATTAATGCACATTTTTATTATGTAAATAGCAGCTGAAATAAGAACCCACCTCCCATCTTACAAAAGGAAGTTCCTATGTTTTTATGCCCCTTCTCCAAACTTGTTCCATTGCTCTGCTATCGGTATGAGGTGTCACACACACTTCATGGCATAAGATCTGCCAACATCACAAACCAAATGGTAAGTAACATCATGGAAAGTGATTCCATATACCCAGATAGCTGGGCTTAGGGAACATGAAAAGGAGCAAAGAGAAAAATGGAACAGCTCATAAACCAGGAAAAAAAGTTGTTTCAGGGAAATCATCTTTTGGTTCAGACCCAAGGCAATTGTCCGTGCAGTTATTGGAAAGAACGCTGGCACAATCTTCTGGCAAACTGGCCACAGGAAAGGCTGACTTCATGTCACACTGAACTAAGCTCCCTGCAATACTAAAAATAAAGCGGATGGAACTTTCACTCGTCAGAATATATATACTTTGCATCAGCTGAACAAACCTGATTACTTGCAGCCCTGAATTTATCAAGCCAATTGACTTTCTGAGAAAAATAGCCAAAGAATGTGGGTACTGCACCAGAATGATGAATAAGGTGAGATCTGGGGGCATACTCCTACTTTCTAGGGACATACTTTTAGGATGTCATCCACATTTTAAAAACCCCACAGATTTATTTAAAGTTTGCAGCAAAGTTTGAGGAACACTGTAAAAAAATAATATTCTTGTGAGAAGTTAATACAGCGCAGCGCATACCGATTTAGGTGATAGAAATCAAAGCCATGATTTTTGTTCTCCCCTAAAGACACCATAAAAACTAAAAGCAAAGAGACATCTCGCTGCGATGCCCCCTTGTGGAACAGAAGAAAATGGGAGGTTTTAATACAATCCATTCCTATATCTTACAATTCATATGCATTTCTAGTGAGCTGGAAGAACTGGCGGGGAAAGAGAGGAAATCAGGGAGGATAAACTAAGTCATCTTTAATTGTCTTTGGAAATATCAGATGAAATATACCTTTGTTCTCTGACTCTTAGCATTTCATAGAGCCAAGTTGCTAGGTAAAATCAAATCAATCTGAAAAGCAACTTGTATCTGCTTGATGGTGGGGGGGAAATATCACTAGCCTACACTATATGATTTCACGACTAGATACAGGAGCAAATCCCTGCTTTCAGATTCAGAACTCAACTACACAGCAATCTGTAGGGGTTTAATATCAAATGGCTGACTGCCACCCGGCCTAAGATGTTGATGCTAATAATGCTAGCACAAACTGTATGCTTCTGAAGCTCCCCCCCCCCCCCGCCCCGGTACCATGGTAAAGTTGCTAATAAATAACAACGACAACATTTATAGCAACATCTAAAGCCAGGAGATCAGACATTTTCCATCATCATCCCCTCCTCCCCGCAGAGCCATCATGAACCACCACTATCTTAACGAAGTATATTATGTTTATTAATTATTAACTTCCATTTACTGTCCGCGGCATTGAAGTCTTTTCTGACAGACAGAAGGAGGGATACAAATACTTCTAACAAACACAGGATTACAGTGGTGCCCCGCAAGACGAATGCCTCGCAAGACGAAAAACCCGCTAGACGAAAGGGTTTTCCGTTGCGGAGGCGCTTCGCAAGATGAATTTCCCTATGGGCTTGCTTCACAAGACGAAAATGTCTTGCGAGTCTCGCCATTTCCCCCCCCGCTCCCCCCCCTTTTTCAAAGCCGCTAAGCCGTTAATAGCCTTTTAACAGCTTAGCCGCTAAGCCTTTAATAGCCGCTAAGCCGCTAAATCGCTAATAGTGCTAATCCGCTTAGCCGCTAATGGGGTTGCTTCGCAAGATGAAAAAACCGCTAGACAAAGAGAATCGCGGAACGGATTCTTTTCGTCTTGCGAGGCACCACTGTATTCTGTCTAAGCACAGTTAAAGAGTCTAACTTGATGGCCTTCTTTCTTTTTTTCTTAAGTCATTTATGTTTCTCGGGCAGAAAGAGACATTCAGTATTAAGACATTCAGTAAATTAAGTGCACTGTGAACACAAAACTCAACAATGAAGATCAAGGATTCCCCCACCTGGCACAATTGGTTTTAAATCTAAGTCTTTTGAAATTTAACACATGCAGTTATCTGAAACATCAAGGAATTGTAGAAGAGTATTCAGTTGTATTTTATCAGCCCGACCAGTGTTTCATACTGTTTTGCACTAACCCAGGGTTTCCAAACTTGGGTCCCCAGCTGTTTTTGCACTACAATTCCCATCATCCCATGATGGGAATTGTAGTGCAAAAACAGCTTGGGACCAAAGTTTGGGAAACCCTGCACTAAACCAACGTATTATATGGAAACGAAATGGTGCTAAATATCCTATACCTATCATGTGCCAAGAAAATAAAGATTTAAAATTATGTACACATGTGGCTTAACTGGCAACATACAGTTTATTACAGGCATAGGCAAACTCCACCCCTCCAGATGTTTGGGACTATAATTCCCATCATCCCTAGCTAACACAACTAGTGGTCCGGGATGATGGGAATTGTAGTCCCAAATGATGTATGGGGGGGGGGGAGTTTGCCTATGCCTGGTTTATTATGTTTGACAATATGGAAAGTGCAATAGTAGAAACAAAAATTGCAACATTGGTGGCCTTCACATAAGAGAACACTCTGCTTTGTAGGGTATCTGTAGGCACAGGCATTTTACCAAATGGAATCACTTCTACAAATAACTCCCCTTCTCTATATGAGGATACTAATTTTACTCCTCTTCTATCATGTCATCTTCTTTTCTCTCCTCACTCTCTTTCTCAAAAGCAGTAGCTGCTTAAACCATGCTTAATTAACTGCCATTAACCCTTACAAGAAGGCAGTGAAAAATTATTTATACTGCTTCAGGCCAATAATTAGAAGCTACAAAATGGCTTCTAATTAAAAAAAAAAATTTAAAAAGTAGACCTTTAAGTCAAACCATATCTTACCACAAGAAGATGATTTTCTGTCCACTGTCATTACACGCTTGGTTTGGTTGCGCAGCTTGTTGTCAGTATTTTCTACTAAATTGGTGATATCGTCGATGATTTCTATTAAAAAAGAGATATCGTTATATAGTATTAATATCCAGCTTTCCCACCATCACACCCAAACAAATGCAATGTTATCATTTTATGGCACCCTTCCAGCAACCAAGAGCTCTGCAGCTTTGATCTAACTTATTGGCATGGCAGCCCTCTGAGGAAGGTTAGACAGATGGCTAAATGTGACAGAAGCCAAGCAGAAGGCACCCAAAAGCATCACGGTAGGTGTAGCCCATGTAGATGCTGCACTTAGCTAGCATAATGGATTAAGAACGTGCAGACACATCTGTTCCTTGGCCCATAGTTAGTACAAAATGCTTTATAAATTTAGACCAGGAGAAGGGTGAAAATTTTATCTGGGCTGTTTGGAGTGCCTGCACAGAACCTCCACTTTTGCAATGGGCAGTGATCACCCCAAAGCTACCTGCAAATGACCAGAGATTAGAAACTGGCCCTGCACATTCAGCCCTCATGCTACTTGCACTGCACTATATTGCCCCACAGATTTTGTCCAAACCTGCAAATGGAAAATATTTGCACCTTTGCATATTGGTATAAATACAATTTCTAAGGCTCAGTTATAATCGAGAATAAAAACTGAAGCATGATCCTGTTTATACAGCTTCCTTATAGACTATCTCTCTTACTTCTTCTCGCCAATATTCCATTTTTCAGCACAAATAATGACATCATGACTATAAGCAAGCGCTAACTGCACTTCGGCTTTTAAAAAAACATTATTTGCTTATTTGTTTCCAGCTGAAATTCAAGGTGCAGTTATTGATCTATGCGAATAGCAAACTCCACTCTCCAAGTCTGGATTCACATGTATTCCCCCAAAATGGGGGGTGCAGGGGAGGGGAGAGACTGAGCATGTTCAGTGGACACAGAATGCTGGCTGACTGCTGAAGGAAGGCAGGGGGCAGAATGGAACATTGTAGGGAAGAGGGATAAAGTGAAATGAGAGGGGAAAGAAGGCACAGCTGCCTGGCATCCTGGCACTCCACACTTAGCACAGGTCCCACTTGCACTGAGAAGTATAAGAACATAAAAATATATATAGAAAGAGGTTAACATTCCAGTTTCTTCAGAGATGGCATATCCAGGTGAAGAAGTCATTGATAATGGCAGAGAAAAACGTCTCCTAAGGATGCCATACATCCACTGAAAACTCATCGGGTTCACAAGGGTGACGCTGTATAAAACAGCTCCTTACAGAATGGTTGGTTTCCATCACAGACCTCGCAATGGATTCAGAGTGAAAAAACAAGGAAAATTATTAAGCAGTTCAAAAATTAGCAAGCTGCCAACATCCGAGTGAAGTTTCAACATGTTGTCTTCCAGTTGCAAGCCTCCTGCTCTTGGATATTAGGTCAACGTTTTAGTAAATTCAATCCCGTCTTCACATATACAGTCAGTGTGGCAGGGGTGAGGCGAACTGACAGGTGGTAGGTTATGAAGTAATTTATGAGAAAAAGCTTCTACTAGTACGTTTGCTCAGCTCAAACGATGAAAATTCAAAACCGATGACTTTCACAAGTTACACAGCCACATTAAAGTAGTTTTTAAAATAAAAAATAGTGTCACTGTCTTTGAATTATGTTTTTCTGGCTTCTGGAGCACAAAACAGAAAACTGCTTCCAGAAAGAACAACTGCCAAGTGTATAAATTGACCATGCCCCACTTTGAGTCCATTTACATTCAATAAAAAAGAGGAATTGTACAGCATTTTCTTGAGCAACCACAGTACTTTCAAGGCCTCACTGCTTAAACTACCCCTGTAGTTTGTACATTATAAACACTTCACTTTATAAACGGTTACATCTATGGGGATGGTTTACATTTGGAATACCAACCTCTCTGCTCTGAAAACCATACAAATGATATTGTATTTTATTGTATTTCAGTAGCCAAGAGTGTGAGCTGTGAGCCACCTGCTAACCTCACCCACAAATTCACTAGATAGTCTTGGGCAAGCTAGCATTCTTCTCGGTGCTAAGCCCTACCATCAATAATAGAGAGGGGAAATACTGCTGTACCTTACAAGGGTGTAGCAAGGATTGCTGAGATTATGTGAAGTGTACTGAATTCCTGAAGTGTTCCATGTATACTATACATTGCATAGGAAAGCTCTCATTCATGGCAAGGTGCCACTGTGATTTCCAGGTAGACCAAGCCTGGAAGTTCCTAATCTTTATGAGCCCAAAATATGCAGTCTGTGTGAGGCACCGATCAGGAACCCAGGACATTACAAAATGTTAAGAAAAAGGAAAATAAACAGCCTTCCCTTCCATCACTCTTCTTTAACATGAATTCACCAGGAAAGAATTTGGAGGGGGAAATGGGTAGAGAGGGAAAGAGAACTCTGTGAAATTCAGGGCAGATGGGCAATGAAGAAGGAAAACTGGAAACTGCTCAGCTTAAGAAAATAACATTTTTGTTCTGTAGGAAGTAAAATGCTCCTTCTCTCCACCCCCACGGGAGAAGGAAGATTTACTTGGTTACATCCCATCCTGAATCAGAGTTTCTGTCTGTGTGCTACTCAGGTGTGCCCTCTCCCAAGAGGCTTGCGAGTTCTTATACTTCTGAACCACACACAGAGTCCCAAGCATGGCGGGATTCCTATAGCACTCAGAAGAAAAGCAGGCTGCTTGCCATATAACCTCCTCGTATTTGTACTAATTGATTTTCTGATTTATTTAAAATATGTAAAAGCCTTACTTGGATTTGGCAGCTGCCTTAAAGAACAGGCTTCACAGTTCCTGCCCACTGAGTAAGCCAAATACAAACTGCACTTGCAAAATGAAGAGGGGAATGGATTTAGCAGCAGCGCTGGGTACAATCGCATCTTAGCTACAGATTAATAAGACCACAAGAGAGCAGGATTTCCTTTATTTCAGTTCCACCCAGCCTTTCTTCCATGTGTGAGGTTCCAAGCCAGGCTTTTATTCGAACCTGATGATGTTACAGCGTGACGCAAGGCTGCCACTGCACACCAGGTGCCACGGCCACTGCCTTACCTCTTGTACTCTGGCGTCATGGTGGTGACTGGACCAGGGCCTGTACCGTGGTGGGGACTGGATCAGGGCCTTGTGGCAGAGGCAGAAGCCCAGGTCCAGTGGCTGTGCAAGAGTGAAAGAGGTAAGGCAGTGGCGGTGGCACCCAGTGTGCAGTGGCAGCTGCGGAGGAGGCAGAGGTGAAGGCTGGGCACCCACGGGCACACATAACTAACATTTTGTGGGAGCCCAGGCACCCAGAGAGATGGCGCCTATGATTTAAGTGGAGGCAAACACACATTGTTCCAAAGGGAAGGAATGATAGTGGACAAAGGCAGGGCATGGCAGCGCCCTCAGCACTAGACATAACAGGTAACTGAAGCAAAGAATGCCACTGTTCCCTTCTTCTTCTACTGCTGCTGCCACCTCCTGCAGGTAAAAGTTATTGCCCCAGAACCTCAGAAACCACCCTTTGACATAACATGGGGGGGGGGTGAAATTAGTCACTCTTCTGGAGTTCTGTATGGAGGAGGAGGAGGACCACGTTCAACATGTCCTTCTACCATCTGGCTGGCATGCTGTATCAGGGTTGGGTGAGCCTCTCATTGCTTCTGCAGAACCCTTTAAGTTTTCTCCAGCTGGAGATGGCAGCAGCTGTGGAGGAACAGCTGCATCTAGGTCCCGCATATGATTTGCTGCTATGCATACTGAGCTGCGGGAGGTGGCAGCAGAAGTAGAAGAAGATGGGCACTGGTGACAAGCAGGTACATAATAGCAAGTCTGGTGAGGAACTAGGATATTCTTTTTGAGAAAACTGTTACAGATTTCCTTCCTCTCACCTGTAATGTTAGCCAGTTCTAATGGACTGATTTGATTTTTGTGTGTGACTAAAGTGCATTATTCTCATTATTAGAAACTGCCTCTGTTTCATGAAGAAGGGACTATAAATTATAAAAAGAAATGAATAAATGTCCTGGAAGAGCAAGAAGATGCCATCTGTGATGGAAAGCGATGGGAAAAAAATATTTTAAAAAGTCAGGCAGTTAGAGATGTGAAACTGCACAAGGGGAGGCAAGACTGAGGGAGAGATACCTGAGAGAAAAAAGATCACATGAGACAAGCAGAGAGTATGTATAGAGGCAGATGTGGGAAACCTTTGGCCATCCACATATTGTTTGACCAAATCTCCCATCAGTCTTGACCATGCTGGCTCGAGGGCGGTTGGGCATTGTAGTTCAGCAGGTTCCCCATCCTAATATAGAAAAATTACAGGTCTGGGTGATGTGGATTGAGAAACAGATGAACATGTGAAAGCGATTAAGACTACATTAGTAGCAGGGGTTCACTGTACTAATATAGTGGCAAGAGAAGAACACCCCACACCTACCATTTTGGTTATGACAGAGTACACAAATAAATTGGCTGGCAAACCAATGAGTGACAAGGCAGCCAGCCTCTGCATGGACGGTATTGGCTAGCTGGAATCAGGACGCCTGGAAGCCTCCCAGTAGCCTCCTCGCTCAAATCCCTTATATTTATTCTGGAGGTACACAGTGTAAAACCCAGCTTCTCCAAATAGATCTATATCAACAGAGTAATGTATATCTGTAAAATATACACCACAAAACTAGTCATGGGACATGGCAAATATATGTACATTGGAACTGGGTTTAAGAAAAACATCTCAAAACCTGAAGCCCAGAACATTTCATATCATACCAAGAACATTACAGTATGACGAAGCTTAATCTGGAGGCAACCCAGTCTCCATAGCCGCTGCCACCATCTAAGGGAGCACCTTAGAGTGAAATGCCAAGGAAATGAATCACGCAAAACACCAGGCTACACACTTCAAAACAATGCAACACTATGCTCAATAGAAGAAAGCAAACATTGGGTATCATGCCAGTGATGAAAAAGATTGTGGCCAATGTGCACATACTAAGCAGAGCGCTTTAATACTGAGCACCAAATGGAATCTAAAGCCCAAAGAAAAATCTAAAACCCAAA